GTGGTGTGTTTCTGTGAAGAATGAGTTATGTGTTTTTTAACTGTGCTAGGGCGTGTAACTTTATTGGGTGGACCTGTCTTTGTAGTGCATGTTGCGTTACTTGTATTTATGGTGTTTCTTTGTTCTTGAGGTTGTATCTGTGTTGTTGCTTGGGTTATTGGTGGAGACATTACAGTATGTTGTGAGCCTGTAGTGCTTTTAAGGTTGTTGCGTTTCGGTTGAATACGAGTGGGTTGTTTCTGAGAAAGAGGAGTATTGTGTTTTTTAACTGTGCTAAGACGTGTAATTTTATTGGGTGGACCTGTTTTTGTAGTGCATGTTGCGATACTTGTATTTATTGTGTTTCTTTGTTCTTGAGGTTGTATTTGTGTGGTTGCTTGGGTTATTCGTGGAGATATTACAGTATTTTGTGAGCTAGTAGTGCTGTTTAGGTTTTTGCGTTTGGGTTGTATACGAGTGGGTTGTGATAACGTGGTGTGTTTCTGTGAAGAATGAGTTTTATGTTTTTTAACTGTGCTAGGGCGTGTAACTTTATTGGTGGACCTGTCTTTGTAGTGCATGTTGCGTTACTTGTATTTCTTGTGTTTCTTTGTTCTTGAGGTTGTATTTGTGTGGTTGCTTGGGTTATTGGTGGAGACGTTACAGTACTTTGTGAGCCTGTAGTGCTGTTAAGGTTGTTGCGTTTGGGTTGAGTACGAGTGGGTTGTGATAACGTGGTGTGTTTCTGAGAAGAAAGAGTATTGTGTTTTTTAGCTGTGCTAGGCCGTGTAACTTTATTGGGTGAGGGCGTCTTTGTAGTGCATGTTGCGTTACTTGTATTTATTGCGTTTGTTTGTTCAGGAAGTTGTGTTTGTGTGGTTGGTTGAGTTAAGGGTGGAGATATTACAGTATGTTGTGTGTCATGTTGTGAGTCTAAAGTGCTGTTTAGGCTTTTGCGTTTGGGTTGAATACTAATGGGTCGTGATAATGTGGTTTGCTTCAGAGGTGAATCTCTGATTGTAGTATATGTTGTATCATTTGTTGTACTTGTTTGCTCGGTAAGTTGTATTTGTGTGTTTGTTTGGGTTAGAGGTTGAGATATTACAGTATGTTGTGTACCGTGTTGTGAGCGAGTACTGTTGTTTACATGTATACGTTGTGGATCATTTGTGTATGTAGTATCTTGTGTTATGTTTAGAAATTTACGAACAATATGGCATGTGTTGATAATGACTGCTTTTTGTAAATGTTTGTATGTGTTTTTGTCTAAACCTAATAGTTGTAAATTGTGGTGTATTGTCTTTGGTATAACTCCAGTAGCACTAAGAATAATGGGAACTATAACAGTAGATTTCATTCTCCATTGCGTCTTAAGCTCGATAGCTATATCGGTGTATTTGCGGTGTTTTTCTGCATGTGTTTTAGTTAAGTTGTTAGTGTTGGGTATGGCAATGTCTATAATACAAATGGATTTTTGTGTTTTATCTATAAGTGTAATATCTGGTCTATTATTGTGGATAGTTTTGTCTGTGAGTAGTGTCCTGTCCCAATATAATTTGTGTGTGTTGTTTTCAAGTATGATCTGTGGCGTGTATTTGTAGTATGGTGTCGTATCTGTTATGAGATTGTGTTTAAGTGCTAATTTTTGATGTATGATTTTAGCTACCTGATCATGTCGATGTTTGTATTCAGTTTGTGCGAGTCGTGTGCATGCCGATATTATATGTTGGATTGTTTCTGATGTTTGTGAACAGAGTCGGCAAGAATCATTTGTCACTGTTTTGTCTTTATGTATGTGTTTTTTATAGTTACGTGTGTTAATGACCTGGTCTTGTATTGCTAACATGAAACCCTCAGTCTCCGGGAAGATATCACATTCAGACAACCAACTGTGCGTTGCTATAGAATCAACACAACCCTGGCTAACCTCTTGTGGAAATCGTCCATGTAAAGGCTTTTGGTTCCATATTTGTATGTTATTTGTGATGTAAGTTTGGATGTGGGTGGGAGTATATTAGTTTCGTGTAGATTAAGTGGTGTGTAAGATTTATCTGCATATGTTACTGTTTTGTGTAAAACTGAAGTATCTGATTTGTTATAAAAGTATTGTCGTAAATTGTGTATTTGTGTTTGGTGCAATAGTTTTATGTCTGTAAGTCCTCTACCTCCTTCCGAACGAGGAAGGTAAAGTCGTATAGTAGAGGAGTGAGGGTGATGTATATGGTGTTTTGTTAATAGTGTACGTGTGTTTCTCTGTATTTGTTCTAAATCTGTATTTGTCCAACGTATAATCCCAAAAGAGTATGTAAGCACTGGTGTGGCATAAGTGTTAATAGCCTTGATTGTATTTCTACCGTGTAATTTTGTTTTAAGTATACTGCGTACTCTTTGTAGGTATTGTGTAATAAGTGTTTGTTTTATACTCGTATGTTTAATGTGTGTGTTTTGCTGAAAACCAAGATACTTATAAGTTTCATTCTCGTCCATGGAATTTATTAAATTACCCTGTTCTAGCTCATAATCTAAAAGTTGTCTTTTACCAGCTGTGATGTGTTGTGTTTTACATTTATCGATTCCAAAGTCCATTTGTATGTCACGTGAGAATGTTTCGGTAATGTGTAGAAGGTGATTAAGTTTTATGCTTGTGGAAGAGTATAATTTAAGATCGTCCATGTAAAACAGGTGTGTAATGTTGTGATGTATTTCGTGGTTGTGTTTAATATTGTACCCAAAGTTAGTAGTGTTTAACAAATATGAAAGTGGATTAAGAGCAAGACAAAACCAGAGCGGACTTAAAGAATCGCCTTGAAAAATTCCTCTTTTAATTTGTATTGGGTCGGTAATAAGTTTTGTGTCGTTTAGTGTAAGTGTTAACGTAGTGTTCCAACATGACATTATGTAATTGAGGAATTGTGTAATATTGTTGCTGACCTTGTATATTGAGAGTACTTGTTGTAACCAAGAGTGTGGTACTGAATCGAATGCTTTTTTGTAATCAATGTATGCAGTGTGTATGTTTCGTTTGTTATGTCTGGATTGTTCAAGTATAACAGAGTCTATAATGAGTTGCTCTTTACATCCTCTGGAATACTTGGTACACCCTTTTTGTTCTTCGTATAAAATGTTGTTATCAGTACAGTGTTGGTATATTTTGTTTGTAATGCATGATGTAAGGATTTTGTATATTGTAGGAAGGCATGTAATTGGTCTATATTTAGATGGGTCTTGTGTATTGTTGTCTTTTGGGAGCATATAAGTGATACCTTGTGTAAAGAATGCAGGAGTGCGATCTGGTGAATTAAGAAGTTCAGTAAATTGTTGTGCAAGGTAAGAGTGAGTGTAGGTAAAAGATTTCCACCAAAAGTTGTGAATGTTATCAATGCCTGGACATTTCCAGTTATGTAAGTGATTAATAGTTTGACTAATGTCTGTTGTAGTGATGTTTGTGTTATTCATAGGGGTAATGTATTCAGTGCGTGTGGTTTCTGTGGTAATCCACGGGGCGTGTGGATTGTGTTTAATGTCTTTGGTCCATAAGTCAGACCAGTATTGCTGGAGTGAGTGTAGAGATGGTGGAATGAGTTTTTCATTAGTGCTGTTTTGTGTTAGTGATCTGTAAAATAGTTTTTCGTTATGTTTAAATTGTGTGTTATGGCGCTTTCTATCTGCAGTTTCCCTATAGCGTTTTAGACGGTTTGTGTATATTGATAGTTTTTGTGTCAGTGTATCTCTATGTTCGTTATAGTTTGTATTTTGTTCTCGTGTGGTGTGATTGTTTAGTTTTATTATTATTATTATTATTATTATTATAAACCAATTCTTCTAAAATTTTAGAATGGGATTTTTCTTATAAACTGAAATTGAAGTAGCACCTCAAAAATGAACTGGGCATGTGCAACCCTAACTTTATTATTTGTGACCGGATTTTTACGAAATTTTAACAGAAGTTGCATCTTACGAATAGAAAATGAATGCAAGTGAAAATGCGCGTATTGTAAAACGTTTACGACTACTTTTTTAACTTGCTACTTATTTACGTATATATACAATATACATTAAAACGCTTGTCCGACCTTGATATCTTATGAATGTATGTATTCCTGGAATGATACCTTCCTCTTCATTTGCATTAAGAATTGCGTTATAGTTTGTACGTATTAAAAAATTAGGTAAATTCTTTATATAGTCCTTACATTTTTGTCTTTCAATTGCATAGAAAAACGTTACAAAGCTATTTCAATGTTTATTGTTTGAATAACTTTTGTTTTTTGCCACCTTCCTAAATTTTACCATTAATTGCTTACAATAATAATAATTTACCATGTCTCCTCGAAGGTCTAAAACAAAATATTTATAAGCAGTCTTGAACATTGGATTTTTTGAATACGTACAGCGTAATTTGTTAAGGTTGAAACCCTTTATAAACCCTCAATAACGGACATTGCATTATGCTGGATTCTTTAATAACACTAATATTACTCTGAAAGTGAATGATTTATAATAATATGATATTTAAAAAAATTCCTGGTTATTTTGCTTCTCAAAACATGTTGGATATAAGTGTTAAAGTCTCCTAATGGCCAAGATTACATGAAAATTATCTTAATGTCTTGGGGCACGCAGTGGTAATAGCTTATTTGCTTAACGTTTAAATTCTCATACATAATTATGAAGTTATTACATATTCCCATCTTCTGTCAGATTCAAGATTATCTCTCTGAAAATTAGCACATATAAAAGGCGCCTTGGTTATTTTTGTAAATATCCCGAGTTTTACGTTTAGTGACCTAATCCGCAAATATATTAGTTCCGCGAGCCTATCAATAGCAATATGAAAATAGAATGAAATTTAATTTTAATATAAAGTAAGGAGTCATATCTGAGCCTCAAACCATAGTATTATTATTCGTAGTTTCCTTAAATCTCTACAAACATTAGTTATCTACGTGGGCAGATAATGTACCTAACTGAGAAAATTTGTTTTTATTTAACCACACCGATGACAAGAACGTTGGTGCTTAGCAGTTTAGTAATAATAGTCGTTTCGGCTAATTATTCTAAATTAATTAAACATCTTAGTATAGTTTTTAATTCATTATTGCTAGTGATGTAGGTAAATGTTGACATTTAGGTAATTTAGATAACTCAGAAAGTCGAAGAAGAGCAACACCATGATTAATGAATCTTTCGAATTGTCATGTATGTATTTGTTTCGTTTAATTTCCCAGTTAGGTCCTCATAATGCTTACCATTGCCGACTTGCTGTGTTTTTCAGTTCATGACCTTGACATTATCCCCATTTTTTTGGTTTCAGCGGATGATGAGGCCATTGACCTATCAGGCCATTTGGACTCTTCAGTTACCGTAGGTGAGCACGCGTTTAGCCAAATGCAAGGAGACTTAGATCAGCAGCGTCTTCTGGGAGAACGTCCGCTTAATGATCCTTTGGCGGATATTATGGTTAGGGAAATTCAACACCAAGAAAGGTAAGCAAATGTTTTCATTCCTAAAATATATACAATGTATTTTTGCCTCAGCAGAATTGTTTCTAAAAAATCTACGAACGCTACTTCGATTCGATTTGAAACCTTGAATAAATTGTAAAAAGTCGTAGTGTTTGCCGATTCTGACTATTTATAGATAATTTCATCAAGGGACATCGTCTCTTCCATAAAACCCTCATATACAGCTCTAAAGTTGTATATTATACTCGTACCTTCTCAAGAACCCTATATCTTCGGTATGAAATTCATCGGCTGTCTAGGGTTTGCATGAACTACCCATTTTTAGTTGTCCAATCTTTAATCGATAGAAAAAGTAGGTACTCCGTCAAGATGTAGCCAGATGTTTTTTTAGCAAAATGATTATTTGGTTTCGTATGTTTTATGTTAGTGTAATTATGTATTAATTTTGAGGAGTGACAAGAAATTTTTGCACTTAAAAGTATAATCAGAAAACGAAATGTTGTTGATTTTGTAAGAGGCTTATCCGGTTATTAGGTAAAAGCAATATGCCTTTAGTGATCACTCTATTTGTCTACGGTAGCGATTGCCGTAAGGGAAATGCAAGCAACAAACCATACATGAATTAGTGGTAGCTATAGGAAATCAAATACAGGGAAAGCAAAGCAATACCTCATTATTTTTAACGGAATGGAAAGTATCAAACGCTTGCCTTTAAATTTATCGTGACGGATAAAATCTCATCCAAATAATTAAAACTTCTTTATTTAATTACGCCTCTCCCTGACATGATAAAAATCTATGAACGGGCATTGAATTTAACTCAATTCAGCGCGCCTCTAATGTCATAAGACTCAATCCAATTGGACGAGGTTTGCTGCAACTCAATTAATTAACTACGGTTAATTATACTCAACTAAATGGCCGGATTAAAATTTCCAAATTTGGTAGCGCAATTGTTACCTGTAATTTAGCGTCAATCGTAATAGGTCTGCGATAATGAAATAAACTGCAGCTATAATGCTGATTTTAAATTATCATTGTGTTATCAATGTCCATCTGGGTTTCGAAACGCTGGAAAATCTCAACATTGTGTAGAGAAATTTTCTTCTTTCTTGTCTTACTATCCCAGTACTAATTCAACAATTCCAAAATATTGTCGAATAATGGCAGCTCGGGTACAAACACTTTTACATAGACGAAAACTTCTCTTCTATGATTTGTAAAACAGCGCGCGTGCTCACTAACTTACAGCAAATGGAAAACTATGTCTCGTAACAACACTTCTTCAAGTTTAAACGACAAAGACTTCAAAACACTCTCCCAGCGCCAGAAAAATCGTGTACGGAAAATTAAACACGCAACTACCTGTTACGTATGCGACAGCAATAGATTCACTTAAATTTTGTTTCACTTTGATAACGTCCTCGTATCAGCATTTGTTAATTGATTTTCACAAAAACGCAATACATTCTTTACCCAAACGGTGACCATCTACTACGTCTTATTATAAACAAAAACAAATACAACCTATTAAATTCTTTAACTATGTTTTTAGCAGCAGAACAACTATGAATATGACTAAAGTTAAATAAAACTCAACAATTAAGTGCCTCTTTGCAATAAATTCCACCAGATTTCCTAATTACGAGTACTTTTAAAAAAATTAACTACAGAGTGTTTCGCGTGTCATTCCCATATCTTTAAACTGAAAATCACGCTAATTTTGCGCATTTTTTAGTACCCTAGGAAGGCATACCCTTATTGTCGGCATTATTCAACCTAAGGGGCACACCCCCCTGGTTTATATAGCAATACTTTGTTCTGAACCAAAATTTGTATGCAGAGAGAGGTTAATTGTTTGTTTCTAATTTCTTATCAAATCATTTGCAAAATAAATTGCCAACACGTGGCGTATGAAAAGATGCTCTCTCGCCATGCATAATTCAGTACTTAAAAAAAATAATTACTTATTATATAGTTACGAATCGAAGGCAATGGTGGTTTTTGTTATCTTTGGTATACCTTAACCTCAGATTTTACGAGCCAATCGCCAACGCTACAACGGACACACTTCATTTGTTTATGGAAAATGAGGAGGGCGATGTGAAAGTTTCCATGCCGTGATTTTTTTTTAATTGCTCGTATTCAAACCTGCTCTAAGAATGTTGTTTTTGTATGTAACATCAATCTGGTTTCACGATTGCTATACTATTGGGGACCCCGGCCAGGCATCACTTAGGCTGCAATGACATTACTACTAATAACTAATTGCGAGTGTAATTTTGGACAAGTAAACACATAAATAATTACAGCTCTTACCGACATACGAAATTGCATTTGTGATTCCTTTTGTTCCGTGCTTAATGGGAATATTCCAATAATACGCACTAGGTTGTACGTTTTATACCTTGAAACTACGTTTCATTCTCGTGGAGGCACCAATTTCTTTGGAAAAAAACTGAAAGTGTTGTGAAACCAAAAATTGATTATTATGCCTACAGGAAGGTGCACCTATTTCCTTGGGAAAAGGGTTAAACGTATGGTCTTCATGAGCCTAAAACGAAATGTAGATGCTTTCACTATGTTGATCGCCACTTTGCAACAGCAGTATTCACGACCTCGATAGATTACACACGGCAAGACTTCACATCGGCACGTTCCATTAAAGGAAATTTGCTTTTCAACCGGAAACGTGCGAAAATTGTTACTTTGGTGCCAACTGCGTGTGATCCAAACTAACAATTTTAAGAAAAAAAGAGCATTATATTTATCTTGAGTGCAATAAATAGTTGTGGATGTTAAGTTTATAAATATCATGGGAATAGTTCTATTTTTAGAGACAAAGTGACGCGAAACCTCATTTCCAAGGTATTTGCTCTTGTATGTTTACCCTTAATTCTATAAACGCATTTTTTAAACCAAGGAACTGTTCAAGATCATTTATATCATATGGCTAATGCGTATTGAATATGAATGTTTACTTCAGACTTTACCGCACTTAAAATAGAAAAATTATTTTGGGGAGAATAAATATTTTTATTAAAACGTATTTATGGTAAACAATTTGCGCATTTTTTTGAAGCGGCTAAAGTAGAGAGTCTGGTTCTAGACCACTAGACAATTGCTTCATAACAGAACATACGAATCACGGCAGTGTACATCCACAGAACAGCCTTTGAGGATGGTCCCTAAAGTGTTCCAATTAAGCCGCGACATTGCCAGAAAGCCCCTATTTGGTTTTTCGGCATTAGGCTGGATATTTTTGCTTCAATTCAGTTCAGTGGAGTATTTGTGTTGGTTAGGGTGCAGCCCCTTACTGATTGCGTTCATCAGCCGTTCTTGGTTTGTTATCGTGTATATGGTGTGGTGTAAGATGATTAAGTATAGTACCATCATCTTTCCCTTAGCTGTTGTGTTTTGCATTCTCCGGGCTCATTCTTTTCGTCTCTGAGATCGATGTCGACTTCGGGTCTGAACACAAGTCACTTCTCACTTGTTTTCGTTCCCGGATTTTTTGTTAATCATTCCCACCTTGAGTCTCTAATTGGAAAATAATTCTACTCTCACCTCTTTCATGAGCACACCAGTGACCGTGACAGCTTCCTGGTTTGAAAGGTACCTACTCTTGCATTTTCGGTGCGGTGCTTCAGGTTTCATGAAGGAGTTGTTTACAGTCGCACATACTATTCCCTTATTGCACAGTTGCACTCATTAGAACCTTTCCCTGTCTCATCGTCTAACTTTGTCTTTAAAATGACATCATTATTTACCCATTATCAATTATGACTTTATTCAAACGGAAAACAATAGTGCAAGGTGAAAATAAGCTTTGTAATGAATATGGAATAGAGTAATTACAGTCCGCGTGGTTAACACTATGTTTAATAAATGCTTTATTCCCATGCCTAACGTAATTATTATTATATTATCATTAGTTATCGCATAATTACTTTAACTGATTTAAATAAATGTCTATAGCTCTTAATTGGGTATAGGTATTAAATCCATACAAACAGAGCGAACTCTTTGGTTTACAAACAGGGATATTCACTAAGAAACATGTGACAGGATTGAATAAATACAGGACACAAAGTGCATCTGACTACATGACATCAGGACGGAGCCAAAGGGTTTGGGAGGGGGGGAGGGAGCTTCCCCCCTCATCTTATGCGGGAGTTGGTGGCATTTTTAGGGGAATTTTTTTGTGATGGCTTTGTCCATTTGTCTGTCCGTCTGTTCCTCGTCTAACTCGAGAATTTCAACCATTGTTTAAAAAATGTTTTCTAAAGCCTCAAGAAATTTCAGACTTCCATTTTTGTGTAAGCACGTTTTTTGTTAAGCAACTTTTGTTACAAATTGTTTCAAATACGCCCTACAATCTCAATAGCCCCCGATAACGTTTAACAAAATATCGATTGTAACCTTCACGTATTTATTTCAATCATCGCGTTGAATTGTTATTATTACAATTACGGAAACCTCTGAAACTTTCTGATATGTGGAATACCTACACAAAACATTTCATTGCACACGACACATGTATCGCTTCAGTAAATTCAATATTCTGTTTAGTAGTCATGTGTTTCTCATTTCTAAAGCTATTGTTATTATATTATAATAGAAAATGTTTGTTTTGCTCTGATGGCGTAATAGACACCCCTTTGATATCGCGCGTTTCCAGCACTCGCCGCTGAAACGTTATTTGTAAATTAAATTATTGTTTGATTGTTTTCATTTTGGAAACATCGCAAAATCATGAACTCGCTAGGAGCTCGTTAATAATAATACATGTTGTTATATAAAATCAGAAATGGCATACGCAAAATCAAAAATTACTTTACTCTTTCCCTCAGATCACCCACTCTCACAATTTATAGTCAAAATCAAAATTGTTAAAACTCTTATTATGTATATTAATAGCATTGTTTTATAATTTTAAACGTTTTGATTGTTATTACTTAAAACTGCTGAATCGGTAAATGGTATATGTAGGATGATTGTGCATAATCCGTTTGTTTGTT